GCTATACTCATAGATTGTTACCTAGCCCAATTGTCATCAGAGAGGCGTTACCCAGCAACTGATGGAAACAGATGCAGATACCCACAGCCAAATATTAGGTGGACCTTGGAGAATTTTGAAGTGGGGGGAGGATTGTAGGAGCCAGAGGAGTCCAGGACACCACAAGAAAATGGCCCAAAGAATCAACTAACCTGGGCTCATAGGGGCTCACAGACTAAACCAACAAGCAGGGAGCCTACATGGAACTAACGTAGGCCCTCTGAGTATAAGTTACAATTGGTGTTCTTGTTGGATGACTAACAGGGGGAGCAGGGACTATCTCTGATTCTTAGACCAGCTTTTAGAATCCTTATCCTTATACCGGGGTTGCCCTCATGCAGTCTTCAACATGATACATCAGGTTTGGTTGATATCTATGAGAGGCCTGCCCTTCGCAAATAGAAGCAGAGGAGGAGTGGATGGGGAAGGAGAGGGAAGGTAGGCAGGAGGGACTGGAAGGAGAGGAAGGAGGGGAAGCAGCAACAGGGTTGAAGCCAAAATGACCTTTCTCCAGTTCACCTATTTCCCCCAACATCCCTGTGGCTCCCAGTGGTGAACAGTGATTAGAGGCCAATCTGGGACTCAGTATCTGGTGGAGCCTCCTGCTGGTCTAGATGATATGTTACACTCAGTGTGTGTGTGTGTGTGTGTGTGTGTGTGTGTGTGTGTGTGTGTGTGTGTTTCTGTACGTGCATGCCCCCAGGGTGCATGTGGAGGTCAGAGGCGACTTCAGGAGGACAGTTCTCTCCTTCCATCATGTGAGTCCTCATCTTACTTAATTTTCTATTGCTGTGATAAGACATCATGACCAAGGTAACTTACACAAGAGTTTCTTTGGGGCTTACAGCTCCAGAGGGGTAGAGTCCTTGACCATCATAGGCGGGAGCAGAGAGCATGGCAGCAAGCAGGCCCAGTGTAGAACAGTAACAGAGAGCTTACATTTTGATTCACAAGCAAGAGGCAGAGAAAGAGAGACACTGGGAATGGTGTGGGCTTTTCAAGCCCCAAATCCCACCTGCAGTGACTCCTCTTCTCCAATGAGGCCACCCCTCCTGATCCTTCCCAACTGGGAAACAGGTACCAAGCATATGACTGTGTGGGAGCCGTTCTCATTCACACCACCACAGGCCCAGAAATTGATTTCGTTCCTCAAGCTTGGCCCTAATCCATCCTGCTGGGCCTGTTCTACTGTCTCCAAAACATAAATTAGACAGCCGGATTTTGTGATGAGACTATGCATACAAATTCTAAATTTCAGACACCCAAGCAAGATTTGAGACACGAAGTTAAGCAGTACCTCCATCCTGCCCTTGGTCATGGCTGACAGCAAGCACCTAACCTGCCTGCTTCAGTGCTGATTGTGGTGATAATTTGTGCTTTATCAAATAAACCTTGCCTGAAGATGAGAGTGCAGAGCTAGCCTCTAGAGGCCAGGCAGTGGTGGTACACACCTTTGATCACAGCAGTTGGGAAGAGGAAACAGGAAGTGACTGGCTGGGCAGAGAGTGTGGAGACAGGAGCTCTGCCCTTTCAGGCTGAGGATTCTGTAGGGGTAAGAGGTCTTTCTAGTTGCTGGCTGCTCTGCTTCTCTGATCTCTCAGCATTTACCCCATATCTGGCTCTGGGTTTTTATTATTAAGACCAATTAGGATTCATGCTACACTGAGGTAAAGCAACAAACTCTCAGCTGGTTGGAAGTGGATATGGTGTAGCTAATGGCTCATTAACCCTTGGATTCCAGGTCAGCGTGTGCCTTATCTCCCTACCCCCTGGATAAGAGCAGAAGTAGCAAATACACAGAGCATCTACTCTACAGACTTGATCTAGACATCAGCCTTGAGTCCTCCTGGCCCACCTCCACTCTTCTGTGAAGCTTGAGAACCTTCTCTGTATGACCATCCTCTGCTTGAAGTGGCAGAGTGCTTCTGATTCTATACCCAGCTCTTATGAGCACAGGAGTTGTCGTCCTCAGACTGGAATCTAGACGCTCTCATCTGTGTACACATCACCCTGAGACCTTGTGGATGTCACCTCTAGCCCCCTCCTTCTCCAGCTGTACCAGGTCTTTCCTCCTGAAACACACCACAGACACTCCTTCCCTCTGGTATTTTGTTCTTCCTCTACCCGGAAAGCGGTCCACACAACTGTCTATTGCAGGACCAAACTTCTATAAGTCTCCTGTTCAAATATTGTCCCCCTTACAAGAGCCAGTTTTTGCTCCAAGCTGGATTTCATCATCAGTATATTGGCACATCATCCTGATCTAAAACATAATGGGGTTTTCCTGAATATGTCTAAAGAGGTGCCAACTCCCACCCACTCCACCCCTCCCACTCCCTCCTATCACACCTTTTTGTAGAGTCTCAGCATTACAGGCTCACCTGTCCAGGTGCTTGTGGTCTCTCTCCACTGAAAGGCAAATGCTGTGAAAGCAGAGCCTGTCAGATGCACCTGGCACCAGTCACCTGCTCCAGGACAGAGCCTGGCTCAGGGCAGATGCTTAGTAGATGTTTGTCAAATAAGTGATGTTTATTTGAAGAGTTTATAGAAGGCTTTGGTAATTAGGATTCCAGAGGTTGTCCTGATTTACCAAATCACTTGATTTATGGCAGGCACTATTCTCTTCCTTACATGAAACAAAATTTTCTAGACAAATCTCTAACTAAAACAAACAGAACAGTGGAGTCATGCAGGACAATAGATCATTGGAATCCATCCACTCACTCAATTTTTATTTATGAAATATTTATAGGAGAAAGCTAAAGTCTTAAAATTATTTTATGTGTCAAGATTGTATAGAATCACATGACATAGCCAGTGTGTTTTCCCTAACAATTGGATCAGTACTTATGATCCCATATGTAACAAGGAACATTAGTCTTTCCCTGGTAGGGTCCAGCATCACCCCATTTAGGAAGGTGACACTCTACACAACTTCCTCCCTAACCTACTATTTTGGTACTTAAAAAAATTCTAACCATCAGTGAGCCAAGGAAGGCCTCCCTGTGGAAGTCACATTTATGATAAGTCTTCCAAAGGAACAAACTACAGTTTGGAAGAATGGAATGTAGAGTTTGCTGACCTGAAACAGAAAAGATTGTAATTCAGTAAAAAAATAACACAGGCCTTTGTGCCTTTATTCTTGTTACTGAAGATTAATTTTTGGGTTGCTTAATTTGCTACTAAAAATGGAAAATACAAATGCATACACACATGCCTGCTAGAAACAATGACAAAATCAGTTACTATGTGGCATATAAGGGAACACAGATGACCTACAGAAACAGATCAAAGATAAACAGGAGACCAGGGAAAGAGCTGGCATTCCAAATTTCAACCAAGAGATATGATGCCTGCAAACAACGCTTCCCATTTATAGTGCATAATTAAATAACTTATGTGGCAATTAAATTACATGCCAATTAAATAGGATTGCAAGCTCTAATGCAGCAAGTGAAAACAAGTGTGACTCATCACAAAGCACATCAATTGCTCTTGTCTCCTAAGCTGAATTGACATTTTAAAATTATTGCTGACCTGTCTTACGGACTTTCGGAATTTAGAATATAAGTTTGAATTAGATCCTTAAAAGTTTTAGAGGTAAAAATGGAATTGGGTTACGGGGAGTAGATTCTGTTTCATCCAAATAAAACAGTAAAGGAAACATCTGCTGCAATGGATTGTTTTACTGTAGTTACCTAAGTCCACTTTCTGTTGAAAATGGGGTTTTTCCTGCAGCAAGATGATAGGTACCCAGAACTGTGTTTAGGTATCTTATTAAGCCAACTTCTTCACCATTGCACCAAGCACATATGTCGCAATTAATGTGTAAGCCTGCCTACATCCACAGCTACCGGCTCTTCTGTGATGTGACTGGAATTTCATTTATTGTCTGCTCAATGGGTGCACTTTAATATAATGGACTTTTTTCACAAGTCTGCTGCTACAGTTTGCATGTCTCCTTGAATGGCATCAAGAAAGAAGGCGTTACAAGCTGGAGAGTACAGAGTTCACCTAATCTCTTACTCATAACCCACCCTTGCGCCTGGCAGTCTAGTTTGTAACCATCACACTGGGTTCCAGCACAAAAGCATTACAGGTTAGGAGCAGCACAGCCCTGCACTACAGGGCAAGTGCCCAGCTGGTGTGGGCCCTGGGTCCACTCTTCAGAGCTGTGCTTATAAATAACACAAATGAAGAGGAAGCTACCTGTCCCTCCCCCATCAACACACTGCTTGTCATACTGAACCTCACCAGATCGGCTTTCTGTCCTCGGGCTTGTGGTAGCCATTTGTTTTCACTCAGGTCTGAGTAACAGCTGATGGATGGCTACTCATACATCCCACTTAACCTTCCAAGGGGAGAAATGTCTTGTTCATCTTCTGAATATGACAACAAAGTTATTCACCGGTCAACTTGAAACTGACCAATGAATAACTTTCAGACTTACTGGGGAAAACGATAACAAATGGAGAGAATGTCATGAGCAGGTGCAGGAGCTGGAACACGCTGAAGGGGGAGGGCAAGTTGGAGGGGAAGGCTGAGCAGAGCCTGCTGTTACATGGGCCAGAGCCTGTGTAAGTAGAATGAACCGAGAAAGACATCCCCACTTCCACCATGGCAGGACATGACAGGGTATCTGCACTCCCCATGGCAGGCACAGCTGGTCAAACGTGTCTTCACCGGGTACTACATCTGCTGGCACCTTCATGTTAAAATCACAACTGTGAGAAACAAATCCCATTGTTTATCAACCACCCAGCCTCAGGTGTTTTATCAGCAGCCCAAATGGACTGACAATGGTTTCTGATCTGAAACCAATTTTACATGCTGTCTAGTTGCTAAATTCCACCAGTCCTCATCACCTAGGGACTTGAGGACGGGATAGATGAGGTCACAATACTAGCAACCATCAAGCTGTTCCAGTGATTCTACTGTCTGACTGGAGGTAGATAGATCCCTGAAAATTCATTGCCAACTGTTCCTTAGGGGTGCAGGACTGTGTGGACCCAAATCATCTTACCCTGGTCTGCCAGGGACAAGGCCATGCAGTCCTGGCTGCTGCTTTTCCTTCACGTGCGTGAGTCTGAACCCAGGAGCTGGGGTGGGGGGTGGGGGTGAGGGAATGAGGTTGAACACAGGATCTGGATGGGGAGGGATTGAGTCTGAACACAGGACCTGGAGGGGAGGGATTGAGTCTGAACACAGGACCTGGAGGGGGAAGACTGACAAGCTCAGGCCCAGCCAACTCCACACAGCTCCTTCTCCTCTGAGATAGAATACACTGGCAGGTGAACAGAGTGTTGCAGTCAGTTGCCCAGGAACAGAGCAATTCTGAGCAGTTAGGGGAATACTTAAATGATGACCGCTGGTCAGTCTAACGTATGGGGCTCAGGACACAGAACAGGCTGGAAACAGGTCCAAGGTATCAACACACAGACGATACCCAGGCCTGGATCAGAAGTGAGGTGAGGTGATACACGCAGGAGGAAAGCACACTGAGGTTCATGAAGTGAGTGGGGAGAAGGAGACTGCATGGAAGCTGAGAAGAAACGGCTCTGGGAAAGGAGCATCATATTCCAGAAGTCGGGGTGAGAGAGGAAGTGAGTTGTTTGTATTATTAAAGAGGACGAAGATCCAGGATTCAATAAAGCCAAGTTCACTAAGAGGCCGCAACGATGGGATTCAGGGACATGTTTGTTTGTCACATCTATAAAAACCAGACTGGGACAAAAGGATGCAAATAAGATTGTGAATACAAAATGCTGTTTTCTTCATTGTGAAGAAAGAAATAGGCAGATTACCCATCACTTGATAGAGCAAAGTGCCAGGAAAGAGTGCTCTTCATTTGGTTAACCAGTAGGCTGGCAATAAAGACATAGAGAAGTGCCAGGCTTTGCTGACTCCCATGGGAGCCCTTACCCTTTTGGAGGAGGGAATGAGGAGGGGAGGCTGGAGGGGGGGCACGGGAGGGGGAATGAGTGGGGCATGTGTGGTTGGTAAGTAAAATGAATAAAAATTTAAATAAAAAATATTCATAAAAAAGAATTCCAGCAACTTAAGGGTCTTTGTTTATGTGGAAATGTAGTTTGAGAGACATAAAATGGGGACATAATCTGAGGAGCACTTAGAAGCTATGATAATGGGCCTGTAAACAAGACTAAGCAAAATCACCTAATAAACCCAGAACTTACACTGTAATGAACCACGGGACACATAAAAGCCCTAATGACAGGAAAACACACTAAGACAGAATTTGGTAGCAAATTCTAAGCTAAACAGCATTTCACAAGATAAGATGTAGATCCCGTTGCTGAAATGCAGTGGTCCTGCTACCAAAAGCACTTTGAGGAGGAGTGATACTTAGAGTGGGATTTCACAGGTCAAGCTGTGAGCGAGGGCAGCATCTGCAGACAACGTGGAAGCCTGAGTTCATCTCAGCTACTAGACTGACCCCAAGAGATGGCTAATAGCTCGCTCCTAGAGATGCAAACACAGAACTCCCTTTTAATCAGATAGTGTTCATCACCAGACAAATATTCTGCCAGCAAGACGGCTCAGTGGGTAAGAGTGCTTATTGCATAGACTGAGGATCCGAGTTCAGTCCCCAGACCCCACATGGTGGGGGGAGAGAACCGGCTCCTGCACATTGTCTCATGGTCTCCACACTCGCTCACACATATGGCAAGAAAAAGAAAGAAAGAAAGAAAGAAAGAAAGAAAGAAAGAAAGAAAGAAAGAAAGAAAGAAAGAAAGAAAGAAAGAAAGAAAGAAAGAAAGAAAAG